TCCACATCCGGTGATCAGTTTGTGCTGTTTGTGCTCCAAATCGAGGCTTGGCTATTCCCTATTTAAGCGCGATGGCAGAGGGTGGCTCTGTAGCCCCTCGAGGATGTTTTTTGATGATGAAACGCTTCGGGCGGAGCCTCCCTCTGACATCATCGCACTGTCAGCCATCTTAGAATCGGTTCATGTGAATTGCTTTTAATTGTTCTACAGCTTAAACGTAGGATTCCATTTGCACAAATAAAGACTTTTTTTTATACATATTGCCCTATGAGCGGCATGTTTTTTCTTTCATGATCCTGTCTGGCACTACACTTTGAGTCCACATTCCACTTGGAGGTCGGGAGGATCCATGTTGTGGGCATGATACAGAAAGCCTGCCAGTGCTCTACATTATAAAGCTGGTTGGGACCCCCTGTAATTAAGGGGTCTCTAGTTCTGTAAGCCTCTATTCGAATATTTGGTGTTATGTACTTTGGTGACCACTTGAAGCAAGTTTTTCCACATTTGCACCTACAGCATTGTCTACTATAATACCATCAAATGTGGAGTTTTCTTCCCATATGTATGGACTATAATACATGTCTATATGGACATTTTGTTATTTTTTTGTTTTGACACTTTTTCACAAGCTTTTCATGTGTATTTGTGATGAATATAATCTGTGCAGTAAGTAACTTACCTTCAACCTCAATCACTTTTTAGAGGTTTGAGGGTTTTCATAGGGCATATGTATGATGTATGAATATTCAGGTTAATTTTAACCATATATCATTGTTTTTCATGCACATTTCCGATAAGTGTATTCACATAGTTTTATTTATTGGGCTTCTCTTAATTTTGATCACCCTTCAGAGGGGTGAGGGTTTTCATAGTTTCATATGTATGCACTTATTTAGTTTATTTTATCATATTTTTTTCATTCTTTGATCGCCTTTCAGAGTTGTGAGGGTCTTCATAGTGCTCATATATGTTGTACAAAGGTTTACCTAGCGCAGTATCCATTTGAATACATCCAAATCAACAAGGGAATGGCTTCACCAGAAGATTAAAGTTTTGGAATGGCCCAACCAGAGCCCAGACCTGAATCCGATAGAAAATCTGTGGGGTGATCTGAAGAGGGCTGTGCACAGGAGATGCCCTCGCATTCTGATAGATTTGGAGTGTTTTTACAAGGAAGAGTGGGCAAATATTGCCAAGTCAAGATGTGCCATGCTGATAGACTCATACCCAAAATGACTGAGTGCTGGAATCAAATCAAAAGGTGCTTCAAGAAAGTATTAGTTTAAGGGTTATGCAACCATATTATTTTTGTTTTTTATTTTTACTTCCCTCCACCTAAATGATTTCAGTTTGTTGTTCAACTGAGTTGTACAGTTTATAGGTCACGTTAAAGGTGGAAAAAGTTCTGAAATTATTTATCTTTGTCTCATTTTTTTACATCACATAAATCTGACAATTGAACAGGGGTGTGTAGACCTTTTATAGTGTGTGTGTGTGTGGTCTCCAAGGTCCTTTCTGATGCCTGCCTCGCCCCCTCGACCCTATCTCCTCACAACTCCTACCCTCCCTCACCCACATCTTTAATCTCTCCCTCTCCTCCGGTACTTTCCCCTCTGAAGCATGCACACATCACCCCCATACCTAAAAAGCCCTCCCTGGACCCCAATGACCCAAACAACCTCAGACCCATCTCCCTGCTCCCATTTACATCTAAACTCCTCGAGTGCCTAGTCTACACCCGCCTAAGCTCTCACCTCAACGACAACAACCTCCTCGATCCCCTACAGTCCGGCTTCCGTCCCCTACACTCCACCGAAACTGCCTTACTCAAACTTTCCAACGACCTGCTAACTGCCAAAGCTAATGGCCACTATTCAGTGCTCCTACTCCTTGACCTCTCCGCGGCCTTCGATACAGTCGACCACCCCCTCCTCCTCAGAAAACTACACTCCCTCGGCCTCAGAGATTCTGCTCTCTCCTGGCTCTCATCCTACCTGTCACAACGCTCTTTCAGCGTTACCTATAATGCTACCATCTCCCCCTCACTCCCCCTCTCTGTTGGGGTCCCTCAAGGCTCCGTCCTCGGGCCCCTTCTCTTCTCCATCTTCACCTCCTCCCTTGGCCAACTCATACACTCTCACGGCTTCAACTACCACCTATATGCCAACGACACACAAATCTATCTCTCAACCCCCCACCTCACCCCCTCAGTCTCTGACCGAATCACACACCTACTGAGCGACATATCAGACTGGATGTCGCTCCATTCCTTAAACTGAACCTCTCCAAAACCGAGTTTCTTGTCTTCCCCCCAGCCCGGACCCCCACCCCCCATTGACTTCTCCATCATGTCCAACAACGCCACCATCAAACCTGCCCCGCAGGCCAGAGTACTTGGTGTCATTCTGGACTCCAACCTATCCTTCCAGCCCCAAGTCCAATCTTTAACAAACTCATGCAGACTCCACCTCCGCAACATCGCCAAAATACGCACGTTCCTAACCCCAGAAACCACTAAACAGCTCATCCACTCCCTCATCATATCACGACTCGATTACTGCAACTCCCTCCTTACTGGCCTGCCTCGCCGCTGGCTATCCCCGCTTCAGTCGATCCTGAATACGGCTGCCAGACTTATTCACCTTTCCAACCACTCCGTTTACACCACCCCCCTCTGCCAATCCCTCCACTGGCTTCCAATTGCTCAAATTCAAACTCCTAACACTGACGTACAAAGCTGTCCACCATACTGCCCGAACGACATCACCGACCTAATATCCAAGTACCGCCCAGCACGCACACTCCGTTCCTCACAAGACCTCCTTCTCTCTAGTTCCCTGGTCTCCTCCCATGCCCGCCTCCAGGACTTCTCCAGGGTGTCTCCCATCCTCTGGAACTCCCTGCCCCAACCCATCAGATTATCACCTACTCTCCTCTCCTTTAGGCGCACCCTGAAAACCCATCTCTTCAGGGAAGCCTACCCCACCCCCTGCTAACTTGCCGACCACCTCCACTCTTCCTACTACTCCATCCCCCACAGCTTTCTCCTCCTGTGCCACCATCCCCTCCCTCCTCGATTGTAAGCTCAAAAGAGCAGGGCCCTCGATCCCCTCATGTTTTGCATTGTATTGTTATTGTTCTGTCACATGTTCTGTCCCCCTTTGTAATGTACAGCGCTGAGCGAACATTGGCGCTTTATAAATACTGTATAATAATAATAATTGAATATATATGTATGTACTGTCACTGTTTCACAGTATAAATTAACCTCTTAATAGCAGTGATTATATACTTTTGTACTATAAACGGCTATTTTGTTTTTTTAACCCCATCATGACAGGTGACACAAAAAGTATGCTGCTTTTACTAAATATCATGACAACAGATGCAGGTAGTTTTTGTCAAACTACCTGCCTATGACAAGGGATTCTGTCATGCATAACAATATATTACAGCTCTGTCTGAGAATCAGCAAAACAGTGTGTTAGGTCTTTTTACAGTTTTGATTCTTTAAATAAAAATTATAATCTCCAAGTCTGATGATATGTACCAGTTTCAACCTCCAATAGTATATATATATCTCCTATGTATGTTATTCTCAGAATGGATTTTGTTCCCTAACAATATAGCTGGTTATATTTACCGCTGCAAATAGGTATTCAAGAATAAATTACCTTTTTTAATTTTTTTTTTTATAATAACTAAATTGTACACCACACTTTTTCTGAGGTTTTTATCCGATTAATTGAAACCATAATCAGCCAATTCATCTATTATGAAAATAATTGTTAGTTGCAGCCCTAAATTTGAGCATGGTCATAAAACAATGTGTACATAAAACCAGCCATACATGGATCAACATCCATCCAGTTCAGAAGGGATCGGCTGAATTTCGATCCATGTATGGGCAGGATAGTTATACAGAAATCAATCTACAGATACTGTACCAATCTACCAACACTGTACAACTACCCTGTCAGATTTTTGCCGCTCGATAAGCATCGCCAACTATAGCCTGCAGTGCTAATCAGTGTTTTCTGACAGTGAGGAAGTCTCCTGGCTGTCCGAATACAAAGACTCAGTGGGAGGATTCTCCCATCCACCTCAAATGTGTGGATAGGGGAATTTACTTCTTTTTTTATTCAACCTGCAGGTTGAATGAAAATAAATGAATTATCTATGGACTGCTTAAAGGGGCCATTGGTATTTATTAGAGTGATGGTATACCCCACTTCCCAACCAATCAACTCCTTCAAATCCCCTGACAGCAGCTCCTGTGTGAACGAAGCCTGAAAGCAGTGTTTGCAACCTTCATTTATGACTATATTGTAACTATATTATTAAGTCCAGCAAAGGCACTGAGTGTTATTTATTAAAACTGTAGCGTGAAAAATCTGGTGCAGCTCTGCATAGTAAGCAATCATCTTCCAGGTTTTATTGTCAAAGCTTAACAAGCTGAAGTTAGAAGCTGATTGTCTACCATGCACAACTACACCAGATTTTGAGTGCACCAATTTTAGCAAATCTCCCCTACAGTGTTGTCAGGCCAAAAAGGAATTTGAAAGCACACTGGATTCCTGGAAAGTTATCAGGCATTTGTGTGTAGTTTATATATTTTTGTTTTGTTTTGTGGGGCAGATAGCTGCACAAGCAGAATGATTGGAAAGGAAAGTTACCAGAATCGATTGAAATATAATATTTTTGTGTTGTTCTCGAGTTCCCCTTTAAATTCATGTTGGGAGATGTGTGTGCTATGCTGTGCACCCAGCCAAAGCAGAAGTCACCTTCACCTTGCAAAGCACAGCACATGTGGACACACAGGAGTTGAGAGATTGGTGCAATTCCCACTTGTATTGCAGTGTACAAATGAAAACCATTCTCTTCATTTTTAAATCTGTTCATTTCAGTATTCTCTAAATAAAATGTTCCAGTGCTGACTTTTCAACTAGATATTTATGTTTTTTGTTTTTTTTTTTTGTTTTGTTTTTTTTCAATGGCAGCCGGCAACAGCTTCCACAGCTTCCCTTCCCATCTGTCCCCGCTGCAGCACCACAGCCCCATGTCCTCCCAAGCATCCTCCATATGTAGCTCTTTGCACTCATCCTCTCTGCCATTATTCCCGATGGGGATGACATCCCACCCGACACCATCACCATCTCCATCACCCAGCCAGCCGCTCCCACCAGAGGCTTTCACCATTGTGGAACGGGCACATCAGATGGTGGAGATCCTAACCCAGGAGAACGGTACCTTGAGACAGCAGCTGGAGAGCTGCTATGAAAAAGCAGACAAACTTCATAAGGTACGTTATCTACATCTTTTCTTAAAGCTAAATTCCAGGCAGAAAAAATAATGCAGCTTTGTATTCATTAATAAATCATTAAATGCATTTTTTAATTTAAGAAGTGCACATACTTGAATTTGACTTTGTATTGATTAGCCTCTTGCAGTTCCTGTCCAACAGTACTCAGACTGGGAGAGGGAGAAGCCAGTGCAAGGAGCAAGGTGCCACAAAGCTTAACTGCTATCATTTTTTTTTTTAATGGAAAATTACTTAGAACCCTCAAACATTATATATATTTGTTAACTGCAGGCATCATCCCGGTATAACCACTGAAAGTCCAGGACATCATATGGTGTCCTATAGGTGGAAAATGGTTAAAAAAGACAGGTTGATAGTAGAAAAGTGTAGACTGACAGAGTGATAAATTCAGCCAACTTTTTCTCCTTTCACTTTCCATTTACAGCATGGGGTAGAGACAAGGCTTAGTTGAGCTGTGTAAATCTAAGGAGCAGATAGACAGAGACATAAATTCTTTGGCAGATAAAACAGCTGTCATATCTGTATTTGATCTGTGCAGTTACTGTCCACCTCATGAACTTATTATTATTATTATACAGGATTTATATAGCGCCAACAGTTTGCTGAGCGCTTTACAATATAACGGGAGACAATACAGCAACAGTACAGTTCAATACAAGAGGGTTAGGAGGGCCCTGATCCTTGGAGCTTACAATCAACTTATCTTTTTAATGTACTGTTATAATTTTTACTAAGCACCAGGAGCATAGCTATCGCTATACTCTAATGCTGGATCTACTGGTCTCTCTTCCCGCTCAATCATAGGGTGCTTTGTATTATGTGCGCTTATTCACAATATACAAAGCCTTCTGTGAATTGGCAGTAGGGGGGAGGGGCAGACAGAGCTGCTGCTGTATGAGAAGGCAGTGTCTCTCCTGTCAGAGTACCAGGAATGTAGCAATAGCTGTACTAGCACTCAGTAAAACTGTCATTTCTAAATTAAAGAGACAAGTCCACAAGCTGGCATGCACCTCAGTGGACTTGACTAATAGTAATCCAGCAGATTAGAAAGTTGCTGAATTCCTGGAATCCAGCTTTAAAGGATGAGTACCCCTTTTGGAAAAATGTTACGTTCCACCCATATTTAGGGTGGAACATGTAACATGTTCCAGTTCTTGCCGCCAGTTCCCTCTCACCCCCACTCCCCCACCCCTTGGTGTGACACTGGTGGATCTTTTCCCCACACCCGCATTCAGTAGTTGAAACCAGCACGACCATGCGGGGCTCCGCCAACACAGCCACGTCATTTAGTCACAGTTTCAGTGAATGAACCACACATACCATCGTCCACATGTAGTTCTAAATGAACTGTGAGGGCGCTGATGAGCAATTCCATAGTTCATTCACAATTCACAAGCTTTCAGCAGACAGCCAGTATGAAGGTACTGTAGAGGCAGAAAGCTGCAGGGCTTGTCTTCAAAAGCCTGACCATTGCACCTCTGAACCACTGATCACTGGTGTAATGCTTTCCTGGATCCTGCTGGAAACAATAATAAATGCACATTTCTTCCTGCAAAAATATGTGCATTGATTATTTTTTCTTGAAAGGTGAAATTATCCTTTAATGTCGCACATGGCTTTCCAGGATAGGAACGAATCTATGATATACCTTGGGCTGTGACGGGATCTCTATTCACAAAACAGAACTGTACTTTGAGACGTAGAGGGCAGTGTAAGGGTATGCTTTCACTTTATTTTTTACTGGTCTTTATATAGAGCAACCAATTTATGCATCACTTTCGTTTGCCATTTTCACATTAACATCAGTCACTATCCACAAGGAGCTTACCAATTTAGATGCCTACCTCACATGCATACATACAAATATTATGGTCAGTTTAGACAGGAGCCAATTATTCTTCCAGCATGTCTTTGGAGAGTGGGAGGAAACCTATGCAAGCACAGGGAGGACATGCAAACTCCATTCAGGTAGTGTCTTAATTGGGATTTCAACCAAGGGCCCCACTGCTGCCAGGAATATCTTAGAGCTTAAGGGCACGTAGGGGATTTTACAGATTTGTACTTGTCTTCTACTTGGAAAGTCCCACACTGTGCTGCCGATGCCGAATACTCATGTGGATCTGGGTAAGTAAGGGCAGAAGAAATAATGAGCTGTGGTTTGAAGAGGATATCCTACTCAGTTGTTCAGTATATGCAGCACAGCAACACTGGGCATTGAATGTCACTACTGTCCAAACCTGCCAGCCCCTTCACATCAGGCTCTCCTCCAGTACATACCCTCGGCAGACCCCTCTACCACAGTTGGGTGCACTCAGGGGCCGCGACCTGGTCTCAGTCCTGCGCCAAGTACATCCCCACCATCAGGGGCTCTGGTGAAAAGGCAGACTGGGGCTTAGACTCCGCGCCCTGGGGAATCCCCTTCTGTGGGTCACTAGAGATCCCGCCGGGCGGTGCCTGACAGTTACTTACGGCCTGGCCATTCCGCCTCTCCGGCCCTGACTACGCCTGTGTTCCTGCACATATTGATATTAGTGTAAGGTTGGTTTTGTTTGCTGTGCGTTTTGTATATTTGGGTGGCTAATAATAATTTATATTATTATTACATCATTCCTGAAGCCTGCTACTTCCCTGTGTCAGTCCACACATTTCTAGTCATACCCGGATCCCTGACAGTTATAATCCTGCTCAACTAACATCTGCTCCCTGTTGCCTGAGGGCTCCAGCCACTAGTGATCTTGCCTGTGAACACCAACCGCGACCTGTGTGCAAAGCCCTTGTAGTCAGCGCAGTTACCCTGTGAAGTGTAAGCATGTCTTATAACGCAGAGAGTTACAGATGTGGCCTGGCTCCCTGTTCGGTTTGGCACGTCACCAGCACTGCTCTTTGAACTGGAATTGGCAGGGGCTCGCATGCAATGATAAGATAATTGTACCAGAAAGCCCCATCCAGAGGACTCCTGGAGGGGAGATTTCAGTCACTGCTCAGAATAACTGCACTTAGCTTGGCAGGAGCTTACTTATTGACCTTATAAGTTATGGGAAATCCAGCCTGCTGAGTGACTCTTTAGCCTTTTAAGGATTTGTCTTTGTTTTTTCTCTACAGCTGCAGCCTGGCTAGATCATAAGTGCTCTATAATGGTGGCCTTTTGGTAAACTTGTTCATATTTTCGTGCTTTATGGAGAACTTATCCTTTTTTTCATTTGAAAAGAAACTCTGGCAATAAAAATATCTGTTTAGGGCTCTAAATGTAATAATATATTATTAAAGTATTAAAATATACTCTATTTTACTATAAACATAAATATAACCAATTATAGCCCAGCACAGGAGGGCTGCTGGTACACAAATTAGCTGATCGAGAGCTGCAGTCTAGATCCAGTCAGAACCACTTGTTGTCTGTGTCCTCCCTGATGTACAATCACTGGAAGTAAGAGGGAAACATGCTATGTCTGTGCCTGTCCCCAATGTAAAAGTTGTTGCATGCTTGGGAGGGGAAGGCCCTTTTCTATTGCAGCATGACTGTGACCCTGAGCATATATCAGCTCCACAAAGACATGGTTTGATATGGAGGAACGTGAGTGGCCTGCTCAAAGCATTGACCTCAGGTCTGCTGACCACCTTTTGAGTTGACTTGGGACACCAATTGTGAGTCAGGTGTTCTCATCCAACATCAGTACCTGATCTCAAAGCTGGCAGAGTGGGCACAAATTATCACCCTTCTTGAGCAAAGCCTTCTTAGAACAGTGGAGGCTGTTATAGCAGCAAAGGAAGACAACTAAACAATGATGCCCTTGTTTGGAATGGGATGTCCAGCAAGCTCATGGAACGTGAAGGTCAGGTGTCCAAAATCCTGAAAAATACTCTGTTCTATCAGGTATTATTATTATTATACAGGACTTATATAGCGCCGACAGTTTGCTCAGCGCTTTACATTATGGAGGGAGACAGTACAATAACAATACAGTTCAATACAAGAGGGATTAGAGGGCCCTGCTCCTTGGAGCTTACAATCTAGGAGGTATGAATATTAAAGGGTGAGTGTATATAATATAGTACGTTCTCTTTCAAAGTGTTTCATAATTTCTGTGTGTGTGTGTTTTTTCTTTTAAGGTGGTTATAAAGCTTTGTTTTTTTTTTATTAAAATCACAACTATGTCTTACTTGCATGCTCTGTGCAATGGTTTTGCACAGAGCAGCCCGGATTCTCCTCTTCTCAGGTCCCCCCACCAGCAGTCCTGGCTCCTCCAACCTGCCGAGTGCATGCTCGCTCTTAAGCTGGCCCTGTATGTCCATACGACATACAAAGCGCAGCTCAACCCCACCCCCCTCCTCACTGACTATGGTTGACAGCAGCGGAAACTTATGGCTCCCACTGCTGTATCCCAGCTTAGGCTCTCGTGCACATCGCTGAATCGCGATCGGGCTCAGGTAAGTATTAATGGGGGCTGAGGGGGAAGCTGCACAGAGAAGCTTTTTTACCTTCGTGCATAGAATGCATGAAGGTGAGAAGCCTTCGGCCTTTAGAACCACTTTAATGAAATTGCATTTTTATTGGACTGCTTCCAAGTACAAAGTCTGGCTATATATACTGAAGACAGATCGCAGCGTAGGAATCAGGATTTTACAGAAGTCACAACTGTGATGGAGCCCCCTTGTTCGTGTCCTGTAAAGCTTCCCATTGCCTCCTAAATATCCCATGCTTCTTCTCTATTCCTGCTGGTCACTCTAAAGCTGGCCATAGATGAGTCTTTTTTTTTTTTTTTTTTTTTTTTTTTTTCCTTCAGCCAGCAGGTTGAATGAAATAAACTGAAACTCCTAGATTGTAAGCTCGAAAGAGTAGGGCCCTCTTACCCCTCGTACGTTGTTTGTTATCATTGTACTGTGCCATGTATTGTCTCCCCCCCCTATTGTACAGCGCTGAGCAAATCCTTTGGCGCTATATAAACTCTTTGTATTCTGACAGCAGGGAGACTTCCCCG